TGATCGATATTGACTATGAAGATGACCTAACTATTAGTGCTGACATCATTACGAATGCTACGGTACTCTTACATCATCTAGAAAATGCTGCTGATGATGTTGGACTCTACGATATAACGTCTGAAACTAAAATCATAAGCTTCAATCAGCATGGTTCAATACAAACTGTTTCTATTAAAAAGGAAGTGAAAATTCGAATAGCTAAAGCCTGTGCCGCCTTGAATAAAATGGATGTCATCTGGAAATCTGATCTACTAGACAAACTCAAACAAAGATTCTTTTACGCAACTGTAGATGCAGTATTAATTTATTGTGCAACTTCTTGGACATTGGCTAATATCCTAGAGGCTAACCTTGATGAAACCTACGCTCGAATGCTTAGATCTATACTTAACATTGCATAGAAACAAAATCCAACTAAAAAACAATTCTATAGACCCGTACTTTATATATTTCTACTATCTTTCGCGAACGTAGAATGCGCTTTTCAGGACACTACTGACGAACAAAACAAAAACTGGTGTGTGATCTACTGCTGTGGACACCTAGATATGGCAAAAGACGGGTTGGTCGCTCAGCAATCACTTGCATCGATCAGTTATGTTATGATACAGAATGCCACCGTAATGACCTTCCGACCTTGATGCATGACCGTAATGGTTGGCGTGATAGACTCGTGAATGTCCGGGATAGTTCAACCGAATATGCGGTATTCACTGAACGTGTTACCAGTGCCATTTTTGAAAAAAACTTTGGCCTCCCAAGTCCGCTAGCTATTATTCCTCTTTTCAGTATTAATCGGATTTACTTCCTATCCTTCGGCTTGAAATGTAGTAGAACGTAAACATTTTGATTATATCATTATTTTCTCTTCGAGTTATATCCATTTTAGTTGTCCTTGTTTGAAATCCTCAAACGACGTGGTTTCTGTTATTTGGTACAGTTGTTTGTATTTCTGTCCACGAGGCTCAACGGAAAGTGGCGTTCGCTATGTCATACAGTCTTCATTCAATCGAAGTCATTTTAAATCTTTCAGAACGGGTTTGATGTCATGCATGACATCCGTATGAAAGTCTCAATGTGAAGAGTCTATGAATCGAATTTTTAGCTTTATGCCTTATTTTAGTAATTCCCCGTTTAATATTCTTAACTCCTACACTAAATTTCTTTGACTGATCCATACAGCGATAGATTTCATGTGTTTAGTATTTACTAATTCCACATCCTGAATTTTATGAAGGATTTAAGGGAGTTGTTATCAATGATTTAATTCCAAATTCCATATTATAATTTCTGTTTGGGAACTGTTTATCTTGAGTTCGAGTTCTTGGAATTCTTGGTAGAGTCTAAACAACACCAAATACCTTGCGATTCAAATGAAACATAGGGAAGAAGTAAATATTTAGAGAATTAGTTCTAAATGGAATTAGATCATAGATACTCGAACCCAGAGCGCAGATTCCGTTTTCCCGCGGTGAAAACAAGTACAACACCTGCATTTACAGGTTTTGATTCAGTTATTTATGGTTACTTTTGTGATGTCAACGAACACTCGTTATCACTTTCGTAATTCTAGTTGTAATAGAAAATTTGTAAGCGCAGATACAACTATGATACGCCATACAACTATGATACGCCGTTGAACAATGCTGGTGTCAGACGTCTTGGAATAACCGTCGCACTAATAGTACTTGCTCAATAATACTCGCTCGAATAGTAATCCATATAGTGAAAAGTGTAGAGAAAAATATAGTGAATAGAGTAGGGAATAGCGGTCCGTATAGTAATAGAGGCTAGACTACAAATAGAGATCCGAATAGTAATAGAGTATAAACTAAAAATAACGATCAATTATACGTCACGCAACTTCCTACTTACGCGTTTCCCCCATGGTCACGTGATCCGCGTAATTCAATAATGGGATTGCCTGTGTTTGTTCACTGGTGATCTATGTTCAAACTCAAGTGTCGGCACTTTATTCCTATATAACAGTTACGATAATCAGAAATACTATATCTTTTTTTTAATTATTTTAATTCTTATTTTTTTAAGCATTTCACCCCAAGCAAAACAGCAAAGCCACTTACGAGCGGAGAGGGACTCTCTCTGAAGGAAAATAACAACAGCAGTATGAAGGAGAGAGAACAGTAAAAGATGATAAATTAAGAAGACAGAAGATAACGATTGACATTGCGTTTAAATCAAACTTGGCTGGAAAGCAAGAATCCGGAAGAAAAATCCTCAAACAATGAGTGCGAGAAAATAAACTGTTAGTATAGAAATTACGATGACAGCCAGCCATTTCAAGTGTAAAATTATGAGATTTTGCCGCTAGATCTGAGATCTAGTATCGTGCTTAAATTCATAGAGTCTAGGTACCATAGAGGAGAGTTCATAATAGAAACAGTGAACCAACTATCCTAGCTGCAGACCTATAGAAAAGGCACAGGGAAGTTACATGATAGCAGTGGAAAAATGACTGAAGATGAGATGCCCGGTCAGATTCTTCTTTGGATTTTTATCAAGAATCTCTAAATAAATAGGTGAAGCATACGACCACTTGTGGCAGTAATAATCAAAGCCAGGATGAATGGTAGACTTATAAATATGTGAGATAGATTCTATTCAGAAAAAAATGTCTACAACGAAACAGTGAACCAACTATCCTAGGGGTAGACCTTGCAATTGATTCACTATAATCTTTCTATTTCATGTCAACTGAATAAGCTACCCGAGAACGTGCTAAGAGTCACTCTTCTGGAGGTTAGCATCAGCTACACTGATGAAAGGCAAAAAAAAAAACTTCTTTCAGACGATTAAGAGAGGTATTAAAATTAACAAGTCATTCCTTGTCTCACATAACAAAAATTACGTAATACTGATGCTTATCTTTTACTCATCACTTAACAGTATAAATATAAGGGCAGGAATTCTAGCGCCATTTAAACTTCGGTCCTTGCCGGCGATCTAGTACCGTGCTTAAATTCATAGAGTCTAGGTACGATTGAGGAGAGTTCATCAGAACAATTACCGTGAAAGTCTTCATAGAAAAGGCACGGACAGCTAGATTACGGTGGTTGGAAAGAGACTAAAACCGAGATACCAGGTCCGAAAAATGGCATAGCAGATTCTTTGGATTTATCAAGGATCTCTAAATTTATAGCAAGACCACAAGACACTATGTGGCAGCAATAGTCTTATCACGGACGAATGCTTGTCTTGTAAATATGTAAGATAGGTTCGGGTGAGAATTGTCTAGCTCGATACAGAGAACTAACTTTTCTAGCAATAGACCTAGCAATTGATTCAATATTATTTTTCCACTTCATCTCCTAGGAAGATGTTAGCCCGAGAAGACACGACGAGTCACTATCCTAGAGGTTAGCATCAGCCAGGAAGGCAGAAATGGTTTTATTAGGCGATTAATAAAGATCAGTTTCATTTTTGAAGGCCTTAATATTAACAAGTCATTACCTGCCCCAGTTAACAAATGACTGTAGATGATTTTTTTTTTTTAGATCAGCTGCCAATTTGACCTTTTCGGACCGCATTGGTATTTAACTTTCTAAACAAAATATACTATTGTAAATCCTCGATCGTCATTTTACAAAAATTGATCAGAAATAAAAATTATGCTTCTGATCTTAAAATCTTAGAATAATGACCTGCGGTAAACGATAGAAGGTAACAGAAAGAAGATTAAAGAAATACTAGTCTGAATTAATTGCTGAATATACAGGGTGTTTCAAAAAATTTGATATCCTTTGAGATGTAAATATCACAGAAAGTACATGATTAAGGCAAATGAAAATAAAAAGTATTAATGTTGAAGATCATAAGATTCATTCTTCCAAATCTGAATGAGAAATTCAAAAGCATGTGGATTATGTGAACGATTTCACAAATGTTCAATATGCGAACCGACTGAGACACGGCATTTTTATACCTGTAAAGAAAAAGATTAAAGATTAAAGAACATAAAAATACAAATAAGAAAAAACACAAAAACATAAAGACATAAAAACATAAAACAAACATTAAACATAAAGATGCTATTAAAATTTGAAGTCATTTGAAGGAGATCTAACAAAGTTATTTGATTGCGAAATGATATCAAATTTTTTTGAAACACCCTGTATATGATTTTGCTATTTTGATTGTCGGAAAAAAAAAACATTTCATTGATCATGAAAACTCTATTAGTCACTACGTTAAAAAAAATAACCACTATGGAATGTTTAACCCGGCTGTTTCAGATAAGAAAAAAAAAACTCTTTTATCCATTTTTAACAGAAAAGGAAGACGTACGTATTTAATCATGTACACGTTACTAAAACCATCCTTCACCATTGCATATGTTGCCACCTATATTCTGTACGTATGAAAACAAATTTACATTGTTTTGTTAAGGATTGGCACCATCAAATTTATCAAAACATATCGATTTTAATTATAAGAATTGATTTCTTTCTTTGCGTAAACAAGATAGATTGCTGTGTATATTTAATTTTTTATCATGTCGATAGGTCATGCTAACTTGGAAAAAGTAAGAAAGGGTCACCATGACTTTTGATATTGTTCGCAAATGGCCGTGAAAGGACTGTTCATTAATTAAGCTTAGCAGATGCCATGAACAACAGCAACAAAAAAGCTTGGTCAATACAGGAAAGTGAAGAATTATAAAGAGATTTTAAGATTCCAAAAACCTTTAAAATGCCTTAAGGCGGGAGATGAAAGTTTCTCTTTTTATTTCGTTCTTAAGCGTATTAAAATTATAGCAGTTACAGCTATGATTTCTATTAGCGTTTCTATTATTGATTAAAAAATGACTGTTAATATGAAGAGGAAAAAAGAGGAAAGAGAAGATGAAGAAGCGGGAATAATCGTGGTGATAGTATGAGAAAAAGAAGAGGGATAGTTTTAAAAAGAGAATAGAGAATTTAAAAAAAAACTGCAACAGAGAACGTAAAAAAGAAAGACAATAAAAACAGGATAAATTGCTATAATGAAAAGTAAGAGAGAAAACAGGCGAAAGAAAGAAAGAAAGATGGCGAAACAAAAGGGAAGAAAAACGACATAATAATCAAAGAAAATCTATATAGAGTGTATGGCTTTAAAATGAAGAAAAAAAAACGAAGTATAAAAAGGAGGGAATAAAAAAGACAGCAGAAAAGAAACCATGCGTCTCAAAAGGCCGTACAAAAAGAAATTTAAACTAGAGAGAAAGAGGAAGAAATAATAATAATAATAATAATAATAATAATAATAATAATAATACTAATAAAGAAATAGAGAGATTGAAGGGTAAGCGAAATATAAAGATAAACAAAAGAAAAAAAAAAGAAAACACTAAAAAGTATTTTCTTCCAAACGCTGTACATAAAGAAATAAAAAAGAAAGGAAGAATTGATTAATTAACAAAAGAAAGAAAAAGAAGACGAGAAAGGTAAGAGTTAAACTCAATAATGGTGAAAAGTAACAAAGGGAATTAAAAAATAAATGCCGCAAATAAAAAATACAAGTGAACCAGAAATAAATAAACAAATAAAGCAAGAAGAGGACAATAAATAAGAGAAGGAAAGAGTGAGAATTCAACGAATTAATGAAAGTACAGATAAAATGCTGGCGAGAAAGAATCAAGAAGGTAGAAAATAAACGATGAAAAAAGAAGAGGAAGCAAATCTTCAGTTGAAGGATGTGCGGAAGAACAAAGAAAAAGAAAGAAAGAAATCAGATTGATTGGAAAGGGGTGTAATTGTATTTCTCTTTTTTGTTCTTTTACATGAATGATCAGTTGAAAAGGACATGAAGCCATTTCTGACATTAGGTTTGGGATCCGGAAAAATGTGTATGCAACAGAAATAATAATAATAATAATAATAATAATAATAATAATAATAATAATAATAGGAAAGAAGTATGGAAGTGGATTTTATAAAGAAACCAACGAATATATATATATATATATATATATATATATATATATATATATATTCAGATGTATGGATGAGTTTGTAACCCTGTGCTGCACGTTTTGCGATTATCGATAGCAAAAGCGCCAAAAACTCAGGGTCAGAAACTCATATCCATACAAATGAATATATTAGTTCTCTCACTGATATTGAGCACTTTCCAATAAGTACTGCACACACACACACACACACACACACACACACACATATATATATGTGTGTGTGTGTGAGTGTATATATATATATATATATATATATATATATATATATATATATATATATATATATATATATATATATATATATATATATATATATGAATAGAAACATTATTATATTAAATATATATAATAGTTACAGTTTTTTAATATCACTGTGTCTTCTCGCTCACCTAAATGAAGAAAAAATGAAATATACTAATCAATATGTAACAAAGTTAAAATTAAGTCTAATTGTTTTAGGACCCTTCCAATTTATTGGATGGGAGTTTGGAACCTTCTTAATTTATTACTTTATTCGCTATTAGCCAATTTTGGAATCAATAGGCGGGAAACCACTACAAGAAAGAAAGGAAAAGTTAGCGCAATTAGAAAACTTGACACAGAGTTTTTAAATTAATTAATTAATTCAATTAATTCAGAAAAAAAGTACTACTTCCTGAATTCTAATAAATTTTATTGTTTTCTGTCAAGTCATTTTGGAGCATAGGACTGCATTTTCAGCACCAGTCTATTTTTACCAGATAGATCTGCCAAACTATCGACGTACGAGGTGCAATGAAGAAGTTTTGAAGCTTTTTTCAGGAGATAAATTTACTAATTTCAACCAAGAAAAAAAAAAAAAAACTACCACCTTTTAACGTCAGGGCGATGTTTTAGCACTCAAGCCACTTCGTGAAGTCCACATAGAAGTCATCCAAAGTGAAGTTGTTCCTACATTTTCTCAATGTCTTCAAAACATCTACTTTTAAGGATCTCCTTCATCTTAAGAAACAGCCAAAATTCACACGGAGCAATGTTTGGACTGTAAAGAGGATGAAGGACAGTTTTGATATCCGTCTCTGTCAACACAAAATTTTATAGAGTAGAGACCTTCCGCATTATCTTCACATCCTGACTGCTTTCTGCAAACTAGTCAACTGCGACAAACAGTGTTGTGCAGAGTGTGTTCAATGAGGTGTTAATGCTGTCTCCTTCCGTCTGGAATAACACAGAAAAAGTCTCAAAACTTCCGGAATGCTTCTTATATGTTATTTTATACTAAACTTCACCCAATACAGGGCTTAGTGACAATCAAATTATAGTGTTACAATTAAATTGATAAAGAAGAATGAAGTGTGTAATCTGAAAGAAAAGGAGCTGGTAATATTATAGGGATATGGAGGAGATATAAAGATTTGCACTTGTACGAAGTTATGATTGTAATGTTTCAGGAAGCAGCCAAAATTTGTCAATAAAGTTAATGGTAACCCGAGAGAAAGGAGAAATCAAACTTAATGATAGAAACTAGAGATTTTCCTCTAACATCATCGATCGGATCATGGATTTTCTCCAAGTTCGATGAACTGGTTTTCGCTCGGGGACGTCCCGTGCCTAGAGCGCCTATTGTAGCTAAACCTCAACCCAGACTGCAAGTCGAAATCGTAAATGCGATCTATCGCTAAAGATGTTGAAAAAAAAAAGGTTAGTTCCATGTACATGATACCTCCTGATGTTCTCAATCTCTACAAGAGCAAGGTCTGACCGAAAATGGAATACTGCTGCTATATATGGTCAGGAGCTGCCCAGTCTTCACTTGACAGAATCCAACAGCATCAACGCTTCTTTGTCATTGGTGTGTTTTCCACTCTACAACCCCCTTTCCCATTGACGAGACGTTGGAAGCTTCTCGCTGCTCTATCCCTATTACCAAGGAAAGTCTTCAGACGAATTACTTAGATTCACCTTCGTATTCCATTAGTGAGACGTAAGTTCCATTCGAGCATCAGCTTCTCACGAACCGTCGCTTTGTGAAACTGTCTCCTAAGAGGACTATTCCTCAGTCTTTTATCCAAGTCTAGGGTTAACCTTTATCTCATAAATTGTGCTTCTTACAGCTTCGAAGAAAAGGGTTTTAGCCAGGAGAAATAAACTACTTCCAAATTTAAAATTTAATTATACAATCCCAAACCAACATAAATAAATAGTATTTGGAACTAGTATGGAGTAGGTCTTCTATTTGCTAATTTCAGTGCTTGATTTTTTATGGATTTGATCAAATTATCAACAAACGCCTGATCAATATTTTGCCACTCCTTTAGGAGTGTTTCTTTAAGGGTTGCCACTGACGTAATTTTGGTTGCACGCTTTCGAAGTTTACGATCAATATGCTCCCATATGTACTGTATTGGATTCCTGTCAGACTTTGGGCTACCCATGGCAGTGACTTGATTTCTTGCGATTCCTTCCAGGCATTTGCTTCTTTGCGCGCATGACATGGCGCTCCATCTTCTTGAAAAAGGTCAATCTAATTCGTTTCAGATAGTGGGAGTAATCCTTTCTCTAATATTTGACAATATGTTGGACCATTCAAATCGCTCAAAAAAAAAAAAAAAAAATTAGCTCAGATTTCCCTCTAGACTAGACAGCGCCCACAACATTAAACCAATCCCTCCATGTTTCACGGTCGCCTGCAGACATTCAGTGTTCCAAGTCTCATTCTGATTTCTCCAAATTCGAATATTGACAGAATCTACTTTCATCTGACCAAATTACAGACTGACAAAATTCATAATCTTTGCTCTTGAATTCTCTCGCCCAATTGATATGTCTGTACTTGTTAACGTCTAAATTCAAGGGATTCTTTCTTGGAACTCTTCTTTGGTAGCCTAGCTCTTTAAGAAGTCTTTCTCATTGCATATGGCGACATTTCCATGCTTTTGGCAACATCGTTGACTCTCTGACGACGGTTTTTGATGACTTTCCCCTTCAGCGTCCTTTTCGTTCGCTCAGACACGATGCTTTGCCTTCGTGAACGTTGTTCCTCACGCCAATGGCCTTCATTCAATATCTTGACAATATTATTAACCGTTTGATGATTAACCTGGAAAAACCTAGCAATTTCTCTATTTGACTTCCCACACTGATGCCATCCTATTATTTGCCCTCGATGAAGTTCACCAATTTTCTGACTTCCGCGAACTTTCATTGCCAAAATATAAGTCAACTATTGTCCATAGATGAGAGTAGCTTAATACTAACACGGTATTGTCTGGATAAAAAAGAAGAGACGTTATTACACAAGCGAAAATTGCTGTAATCAAGGATGGCTTAAAACTTATCATAGACCACTGTATATGTTATTCTGTAACCCTTTATATCAAGTGTACAGGAGGAAGTTTGTTGCACAATAAAACCGTTGACCGTTGTTGTATGAACAAAAGGCAAAACAGTCTGATCATCTCTTTATAACACACTACTTGAAAATACAATGAATACCAGTGGTAAGCTAGAGTAGTGCTTACAGTTTAGTCCAGTCTCTTATCTTATCAATGCTTTGTTCAAAATGGATTTTCAGAACGTTGAACGCACTCCCTGAAGGTGTAAAGTGTAGTTACTTGTTACGAGCATCTCAAGTTTCACATTATCGATAAAGCCTTCTAAACGTTAATATATTAAAAATGATCAAAAAGAAGCAAATAGCACATGCCTACAAACGCATGCAAGGAGCTACTATGAGTTTGGTATATACATATGTGCCTCATTTAGAGAGAGAATAAGCCGATGGAGAAAGAACAAGATTTTGTTGAGAAAAAGATTTGTAATATTTGGACAGCTGTGTTCATTTTACTACAATTCAGTACGTTGTGTATAAATTGGGATTAATTTTTTGACTGACACTAATATTTCTATAACTTTTAGAACAGAATTGATTAACGCTGAAACATACCTCCCCCATAACCTGAACGCTTGAGGCCCAAACAGATAATACCTATAATACATATTAAGCGATCTAATTTATTTCATTATGATTCAATCTTTCCATGACAATTGTCCTTCTTGGTGCCTCGCTGGAGCATTACAAAATAAAATTCATGGATTGCCTATTGCTCAGGTTGACTGTGGGTAACTGCAATCGAGTGAAGTAAAAATAGATAAGAAATATGTTACAGTTTGATCGCAATATGTATTGTTTAAATATTAAAAGGAAAGCAGAAATCCCAAATTGGGTGTGTTTAGCCATATAGCAGATCAATCTCACATATCTTTTCTAGCAAGTTCGAATCTCACTAGATGCCTCGTAATGAGATATGATGTGCTAGTTCTTATGCTATGTTTTACAAGCTAGCTACTGGTCCATTACTACAGAAATGAGCTTTATTCTCGCACTCGAGATCTAAGCTTATTCACTATTGCTATGGTCCAGGTTAGGACCAAGTAATAACAACAGGAATTTAGAGTAGAAATAACGAAGGTATATTACACGAAATAATAATACAAGATGTGGAAGGTGTTAGTATGACTGTCAGTCTGGTTTGGAGTGAACTACTATCGGCTCGACTCGATTCAGTATCTAGCTACCCCACCCATGAGGGTTGCATGTGGCACAAGGCCGAGTTTAACTTGGGTTTCCCGAGCCCGTAGGCTCGGCCAAAAAATGCCCGTATAACCCGTATAAACGAGATCGGGTTGGTCATTTTCCCCGAACGAGATTCTGCCCTTCGGCGGAACC